GAGTGAAATTAAAATGCATTTCTTTAGGAAACGGGCAGAGGGCAGCAAGAAAGCAGGAAAAGAGCAAGCTTTGGGCATGCAGTCAGAAGCCATTTTGAAAACATGATCTGTGAATAAGCCACCATTTTACGGCTAATCCCTGCATTGCTCTCTCTGGAGCCAATTCCAAACAGGAGAATAAAACAATTGCTAAAAGCACAATTAAGTAGAAGAAGTTTGGAAAATGCTGGGACTAAAAATAAAAGGGTTGCACAAACAAGAGCGAAGGTTTAATCCTTCTTTTCTTTGGTTCTGGGAAAATGGAAAAGGAACTCTTTAGGATTCAGACACCTGAATGAACAACAAGACAAGAACAAATGAAAACAAAAACAAAAAAATTCCTAGAAACCAGCCAGCCTTTAAACTTTCTTGAGAGAGGGGGAAAGAGTATTAAATTATAACTAAATGGGATTGAATAAAGTTTACCTGTCCCGCCTCTAGATATTTTAACATGCTGTCAGAATAGGATGGGAAGGGACCTTGGAGGACATCTAGTCCAACCCCCTGCTCCAGCAGGAGATCCCGTCTTAAAAGCCTCCAGTGATGGAGCACCCACAACTTCTGGAGGCAAAAATGACTTTAGTATTTGCTTCTGTTGTTTTGTCCAATTATGGAGGGTAGAAAAGGCCCAGGTTTTGTGACCTTTTAGTCTAACTAAGGTAAAAGATCCCAGACTTTTTTCTTGTGTTAACCCAGTGCAATACTAGCATTACCCAAGCTGCCATCTAGTTCTTCAGATCTTGTAGCCCTGCAGGGTAGACAAGCTTATAGACATTGCTGTTGCCAACCAAGACACTGCGCGTTCTTCACTTTCAGATTTCCTGTGCTCATTCAAGGCACAGCGGAACAAAGCAGCAGAAAGAATTGGGAAAGGAAAATTAGTTAGGAACAGAAAGTTGGGCTTGATGAACTCGTTTAAACATTTTCTAATGAAGGCAGATTTGAGTTCTTAGATCAGTGGTTCTCAACCTTTTTAATGCCGCGATCCCAACTGGTTGTAAGTCGAGGACTAAACCGGTCGTAAGTCGAGGACTAAACCGGTCGTAAGTCGAGGACTAAACCGGTCGTAAGTCGAGGACTAAACCGGTCGTAAGTCGAGGACTTTCCCTGACCGGGAGCGCCGCGCATGCATGGTTCTGCCCCCTGCGCCGGCCAAGGCATAGCTGGCAAGCGGCAGAGACGGAGCAGGCCGACCACCAGCTGGCCCAGCCCAAGGGAGGTAAGGCACCCGCCGGAAAAGGGGGAAAAAATGGCGGACAGCCTTGCTTGGCGACCCCCATGAAATGGTCGATCGACCCCAAATGGGGTCGCGATCCATAGGTTGAGAACCGCTGCCTTAGATAATGCTATCCCTCAGCACCATCAAGCTTCAAATAGGTCTGGCTGCTCATGCTTTCTCTCAAATCATAAATAGAATTATATCTAAAGGCGCTAAGAGACAGGAAGGCTTCACACAATATGCTGAAGTGGCACATTTGGGACTATTTGTTGATGTTATTTTATTCAATTTGGATGCTACCCAACGCTTCATGTTGTCCAAGTCCAGACAGCATTCTTAGCTTAGGGTTCAAAGTGTTTTGACAATCTAAACAGACTTATTCAATGAACGGTAGTTTAACTAGGGATTAGTGGGCTGTATGAAACAACCAGACACACAAAAGCTAGCTGTCTATTTAACTCCAGGCACAAACTCTTAAACACAAAAGAGTATGGCTCCCTTAATATCTACACATCAATTTTTGTCATTAAGGACCTTCCACATTTGTCCTTTAAAAGATGGCAACTTGATGGGCTCAGAAGAGGATCATTAATTAATCTCCTTTAAATAACAACCGAGAGAGCTAGTTTGGGAGTATGGTTAAAAGAACCAGACCAGAAACTGGGAAACCAAAAGCTCTAGTCTTGGTTTGTGTACCAAGCCAGCTGGATGACCTTCGGCCAGTCCCTCTCTCAGCCTGGCATAGAATAGAATTAGAAATAGAACAGAAATAGGAATAGAATAGAATAACAGAGTTGGAAGGGACCTTGGAGGTCTTCTAGTCCAACTCCCTGCTTAGTCAGGAAACCTTATACCATTTCAGACAAATTGTTGTCCAATCTCTTCTTAAAAACTTCCAGTGTTGGAGCATTCACTGCTTCTGAAGGGAAGTTGGTCCACTAATCAATTCTAACTGTCAGGAAATTTCTCCTTGGTTCTAGGTTGCTTCTCCCCTTGATTAGTTTCCATCCGTTGCTTCTTGTCCTGCTTTCTGGTGCTTTGGAG